AATAGAAAATACAGTGGTAAACCTCTCTTGTGTGTCTTTATTATGACGTAACGACTAGTCGACTGCTATTTTGAAAATGTGTCGACCAGTAGATATTGGTAGTTGTGAAACCCCTAACCTACAGTGAGATGGAAACAGGCATGAGCTTAGTGCCCGCTTTCCAGCCAGTTTCTGTGGGGTGACGCATTCTGAGGTGAGGCAGAGCTCATCTGTGCCTCACCTCACACCACAGTAACTGGCTTGAGCGCGCTCACAAATAAGTGCCCGCGTTACATTAGGGCCCGCTTTCCAGCAAGTTACTGTGGGCTTACGTGAGGCAGAGCTCGTCCCTGCCTCACTTCTCATCGCTCCCATGTAGTTGTATCGGAGCTCGGCAAATTTGCTGATTTTGACTTTAAAAGCGATTGGAATCATACAGAAATCACACTTACATCATAGATCAGTGGAGACATTTTATTATTATTAGTATTTCGTTTTTATTTAGTTGTTTTTCCGCTTCATTGGACTCGGGGTATGACAGGTGAGGCTCTGCCTCCCCTGGCTGCACGTCGCTGGTGGCATTGTGGGAGGAGTTCAGGTCAGAAGAATTTCATTGCCATTTCTATACTGTAGCTCATGTGCATATCAAAATAAAACCTTTGAATCTTTTGAACTGTGTGATGTATATCCAGTAAGATAAAATAAGAAGTACTTTGTTGATCCCAATTTCGGAAACGTTTGCGTTGCAGCAGCATAACTAACAGCAAAACATGCTGTTTTACCTACCTACCTACCTACCTATCTACCCACCTACCTACCTACCCACCTACCCACCTACCTACCTACCTACCCACCTACCCACCTACCAACCTACCTACCCGTCTACCCACCTACTTACCTACCTACCTACCTACCCACCTACCCACCTACCTACCTACCTACCTACCTACCTACCTACCTACCTACCTACCTACCTACCTACCTACCCACCTACCTACCTACCCACCTACCTACCTACCTACCTACCTACCTACCTACCTACCTACCCACCTACCTACCTACCTACCAACCCATAAAGACATAAAAAGACAAGACAATGTACATAAGTCAAATTTAAAACACTAGAAATAAACAATCTAAAATATTTCTGAAACAGAAATAAAATAGCATTAAAAAGTAAAGAAAAATCGAAATACTAATTTACAGTAACAAAATATAAAGCAGGATATTAAATATACATTATGTGTATGTGTCTTGGCCTTCTTTCAGACCCCCAGGATCACCACCTGCCCCCCTGACGTCCTCCTTCTTGCTCTCAGATGAAATTTGCTTGCCTAATGCAGCGTCCCCCAGAATAGCAACCTTTGAGGGCGTCTTGGCTGCCCCCCGTCTCCAAACTTGAGCCTCCCACCTTAGCCTTCGACTCTTCCATCTCCTTATTGAGTGCCAGCGAGGGGAGGGGGGGTCCCAAGCCGTGGTCCCTGCCCCCGGAACGGCCCTTTGACCAATGGGGAGGCCTGGAGGATCGTGTGTCACTATAACAGAAGGACATATTCAGCGCGGTAAGTTTGCAGAACCTTACAGCTAGTCTCGGCCAGCGGGGATCTCCCTTTCTTTCAGCTTTTTCTTTCACAGGTAAGAGTGTAAGTGAGTGTGTGAATGCTAGAGAGGAAGTGAAGCTAAAGTGCAATGTCCCCAACTAAACTAAAACTAAAAAAACTAAAACTGAGGACAGCTGAAGCCACATGTGTTAAAATCACTGCCACGACTAATAGAGGGTCAGATGGGGGGACCAGAAGTCGCTTCGACACCCAGAGAGAGGCTTTTTATTGAATCTAGTCAGTTGGTGTTTGCCTGAGAAGTTGATCAGCTGTGGGGTTTCTGACAGCTTCTGGTTTCAACAAAAGGTGAAATGATTGCTTTGTACATCTTGCATTGTGTTTCTTTGACGTTCTTGGAGGACACCCTCTTGTCCCAAAGAGCTTTGTGTTTGTTATTGTGCCGGTTTGGTCCGAGTCCAGCGTCCCAGCGGAGGTTCATACCTGAAGGATTTACAGATGGCTTAAAGCCTTTGAAGCAGCTTTCCGCTTCAGGAGACAGAAGACGACACTAATAAGTTATGTCACACCATGAGAACCGAGGCGACGGACGGTGTTAATACCTCTGATGCTTTAAGTCTTGGACATTGCTCGGACTTTGTTTTTGCTTTTTGGCGGACTTCTTTCTTTGCTCATATGGTTAATACTGTCCATTAGGAAGCTGTAAATTGGGCGTGGCATGCGTTTACTTCAAAGCTCACATAGCTTGAGGATAAACAGTTTAACATCTTGAACGGGAGCCAAGTATCTACAGTGATATTACATCGTGGTGTAAACACGCGTTTGAGTTGAGGGACTTTACAGGATTCAAAAGAGCAAATGGGAGGAAGCCTTCAGCATTAGGCCTTTGACCCTCCTGTGGCCTTTCAGGGTTTATTTTAATTCCTGGACAAAGTGTCTTCAGTCAGCAGGGAGCGTGATTGAAGGAGCCATGTGAGAGCGAGACGTCCAGATAAGGAGATGGTGTGGGATTATGGGTAGTGGTCCAGGGGAAGGAACCCAATCTTCATCTTCATCTTCATCTGAAACTGGATCTGAACAGCTGTCAGTTGGAAATAGTTGTGATGTCGGAGCTTTCATGGTGGCCTCGGGCTAACGAGGCTAATGGGAAACCAATCCTCTGATCGCTCTGAAATAATGCACACATTCAGGCCATGTGGGGTTTGATCAAATCCTGTCTGGATTCTTAACACTACAATATATTATACTTCAATAAATATACTTCCACTACAAAGTAGAACTCTTTAACAAGTCAATGCATTAAACATGTCTGGATGCTCTGGATGGAAAAGATGCAATACTTCAAAATAAATACTTTTACTACGAAGTGAAAAAACAGTAAATGCATTCAACATCAAGTGTTAGCATTAAAACGTACAGATTACTATCATGCAGAATAATACAAAATATATCTTGTTTATTACAGATATTAGTGAATTAATGAGTCATTTTGAATCGAGTGTGTTGTTTTTATGATTCTTGACCCTTTAAAATGCATTATTATTATTATTATTATTATTATTATCTTGTAAAGGTATTATTACACCATAGTTGAAATTATGCAAGGAATTTAGGTTTTAAAGCTGTCAGATAAATGTAGAGAAGTAACAAGTACAGTTTTCCATCTGGTGTAGTGCAGAAGAAGAATAAGTATTATTTAATGTGTATACTCAAATACAAGTACCTCCAAATTGTACTTGTGTAAATGTACTCAGTAATGGAGAATGATTATAGATGTGCCAGAAGCTGTTAGGGTTGTTTCTGAAGATAAAAAAGCCCCCCCCCCAACATTAATGTCCTCTCTCAGCAGTTGAGAAAACGCTGTTGGCATAAAATCTAATTGTGGCTCCCTTCTCACTTATCAGCAGAGAAGCAGATTCAGGACGAGGGTTGAATTTCAGCCCAAAGTTTCAACGCTAATTTTAAACCAAAATGGAACTGAGGAATGTGGAGCTTTCCCAAAACAAAACCAGGGTAGAACATTTTCAAACGATGAACAAGAAAGCTATTTAGAAATTACATTTAAATAAAGATTTTTTGGGGGTAGGGGGTGAGAAATGTACAGGGCAGCAGGGTGGGGTCGGCGGCAGATATTTAAGCCATTCTGCAACTTAATCCTGAGCTAAAAATACAGCCGGCTGCTCCTTGGCAGACAGACGCTGAATTCCTCTCTTCTCTTTTTGCCTTCCAGGTTGTGTAGCCCTACGTCCCCATGTCTGACACTGAGGAAGTGTAAGTCCATTCATATTTATTCATTCACAAATTTAAACCACACCTGGTGAGTAGTTTGGCAAAAATAATCTCAACTCAAAGTCAATTTAGAAGCATTTTGTAAATTAATTAATTATTATTATAGTTTTCTTTAATGTTACTTTGTTTTATCGTAGTGTATCAACACCAGGTAACATTCATCGTATGTGTTAACCTACCTAATAATCAAACTTTAGATGTATTGCTCTGGAAAAACGTCAAAAACCTTAAGTAAAGATTGTCTTGTCAAACCACTGAATCCGTGGACAAGCTTGAATTTAAACGCTTATTTTTTTTGATTGAATTTTCGTCTAAATCAGACTTTCTTTGATTCTTCTCTTGCAGTGATCAGGTCGAAGGTAAGTAAAACCATTTTCCCCCGTTTAAAACAAATTGAATCCCCCTTAAAGTGAGGTCCGTCAAGACTCCGGAGTCCCATGCTGAATCCCAGAGTTATTTCTGAATCATGCCTAACTTATTTTCCATCCCCTGTAAAGAGTTGTATGCACTGGACAAATCCATATGTTTACAGGTTTGGCTTGACTCCGTCCAGATGCTCTACTTTAATTAAAGCTCAGATATTATCCTCCTGCTGTTGTGTGGCTGCAGGAACCAATGCTGGCATCAGGACAGTGTGAAATAATGAGTTTAAAATCGGAAACACTTACATTGACCTGTTGTCAGCAAGTCCTGCAGCCCTGCATGCAATCTGCAACCGGACAGTCCTCCAGATCTGATCGGTACCTTTGAGCTCCGTTCAGATCGGGAGGACTGTGTTGTGTTTGCTACGCATGGATCCCCAGTGTACCCACATTTTGAATTCATATATTGTCAAAAATGGGTACAAATGGGATCTTTTTATAATATTCTTCTGCTCCTTTCTTTCTCGGATGGACCTAAAAGAATACGATGGTAAGGCTGCAGATGATAACTCTTATGCCATTGATACTAATTTGACATTGTTTAGTGTGTTTTGTAGGTTAACTTATTTTCTTTTGTGGCATGCTAGTTAACACTAACGCCATCTGGGATCAATTAAAAAGACTTAGAAAGTATGTTTTTTGCATCAGGAAAGAAACATGTCTCTTTACAGCTCAGGAACTCTTCAGGAATCAATCACAACTCATCCATCAACGACTGACCATCAATCTTTTTTCCTCCTGTAACCGCTTGCTGTCTCACATGCTTTTAGCGCCATCCGGTGGCAGTTCCCCCCAAACTGCCACCGCAATGAAACCTCATATATCTCTCACTCATCATCCCCTCTTTTCCATCTACTCACCACCTCCTAACTCTCTCCCTCTTTTCTCCCGCTGCCATTAACCCTTCTCACCGACCCTTCCTCTCCCCTGGTGTCTCGCTGCATGTTGTATAGCTGTAGCCGAGGAGGTAGTAGAGGAAGTAGAAGTGGCTCCTGAGGCGGCCCCTGAGCCAGAACCAGAGCCAGAACCAGAGGTAGAGCCAGAGCCAGAACCAGAGCCAGAGCCTGAGCCTGAGCTTGAAGGTATGTGGTTTGGAGGGGGGAAGGGGGTATTCTATCATCCTTTCACCAGAAAACAGGTGTGCTCCTAAAAAAGGAAAAGGCTGCAGCAAAGCAGACAGACCCACCAATCAGAATCAGAATATACCTTTATTCGTCCCACAGAGGGGGACATTTACATTTGTTTCAGCATAAAAAACACCAAAGACAGCTCAATGTTAACTAAGAAGCATGCATACACAACTATGATAGATGAAACAAAATACACATCCTGTAACAGTTCTGAATATATAGCAGCCAGGTTTATATTGCACAGTTACTACGGCATATATATATATTGCACATATTGCACATAGTTGGTATTTAACAACAAGGGGTGTTATAGTCCGATCCGCAAACACATGTTCTCCATGCTAATGCTAACGCTACCTTCCATTCACCTCTGGAAAAGTCAAAGACACTGGGATGTGATGATGTCTTATAATATATATAATGTTAAGATGATCATACCCATAGTGTGTAAAAACCCATATGTTTAATGCACTAAATTTCATGCTTTTTAAAAGTCCTGCACCGTATCTATGTTAGCTTTTGTCACGTTTAGCTTCCGGCTGCTACAATGCTTGAAGGTTTAAAAAAATGCATTCATTACTTCATTCATTCATTAATGAACATGTCTTTAAGGGGATTGATTCTGAGGTAAACTAGTATCTACTACTTTGGTGGATATTAATAAACTATAGTCTAGCTACATGCATCTGTACATTGTGTTAGCGCCAACACGTTAGCATGCAGTTCAGCACAGCAACAGTTCAAACTACAGTAAATATCTTTACGGTTCATAACTTTTGAAGTCTCAATTATCGTTAGCTTCTTTGCTAACTCATAACTTCTAGTTTATCTAACAAGGAAACAAACTAGAAACCGTCTATTCCTTTTGTAAAGTTATGGAGTGCTACTTTATTAGCAACTTAGCCTAGCATACCGTATGCTAACATGTTGGCGTTCATTATGGAAAAAGATATCTGCAAACACAGGTTTTATTTAGGGCTTAAATTTAACAAAACAAAATAAATATTGGCCTCTTTTATCAATCTAACCCTACTTATAGGCCTACTACTGTACCACATGTACTCTGAGTACTTGTACTTGTATTTGGCGTACATGTTTGCTTATACCTTACAAATACAAGCTTTATCTTGAGCTGCTTCATTTCTAAAGGCTACGCATGATAATGAAACATTTCATTTAAGTCCAGAAAAAGAGTGTCATATTTCACCTTTTTCTAAATGTATTATAAAATGCTCACATGCTGGTGGGAGAGCTGGTGTCGCGTTCACATGCTATTTTGTTAAAATGAAACGGCGGATTTGATTTAATGCCACTTTAATTTATAATAGAATACCATGAATTCGGCCAAGTTGCTTCAACAATGTCTACCCAGACTTTTCTGAAATAGCATGTGAATTTAGTGTTTGCAGGAATCCTTCTCTGTTGAGCTGTTTGGAGGTGAAACTGGTTAAAAGAAACCCTACTCTGTAAATTCTCAAATATCTGCCTTTATTTACCTTAAAACTGAAGAACAACCTTTACCTTGCTTTATATATTTAATGTATTATATTCTAGCATCCCTCTAATCCCAAATCGATTCCAGATTGTATTGCTAGTGGATGCTAAGCTAACGTAAAAAGGACCAGTTGCCTTTATTGGTTGTTAAATGTAATATTTGATATTTCTATTTGAGAATTTACTCTTTAGATACTCCTTAGACTGCCGCACATTGACTGTCTGCCCTAGTCGTGAAGTCTTCCTTGTGTTTACCTGATGGATGTACAGTGTGCTGCTCTCAGAGCGATGCTAACGCTGTTGTCTATTCTGCTTTTTGTTTTGGATGCTTGCTGCATGCAGAGGCTGTGGAAGAGGAAGGTATGTTGATTTTATTAAAAGAAACTTCTGATTAATCTTTAAAGAAAAATCTGTCATTCTGGTTTTGGGAAGGACCGCAGAGTCCAGGTCTGACGTCTGAACTCTACCGGGGAACGCCTGCTGATCACAAAATGTCTGTCCAAATCTTTTTTATCCGTCTGTCAAAAATATCCAGGAGCGCTGCCCAATTGGCACTCAAATTTATCCAAATGATTACCAATTTTTAATTATTGAACAATTAAAAGCTAGTGGAGAAAAAGGGTGAAAGAATATGAGATGCTAACACGTGCTTTACTGCGCAGCGACCCCACCGATAAACTCTTGCTATGCCACTCGTCGTCTGCATGGCATGGAGCCGCCAGAATCTGTGTACGAACAAAAAGAAAAATGGAGAATGAAATGGGGGAAATGTCTTGCTTGTGTAAAATGCTTTTGGGGTCAAGCCAAAGAAACAAAAACAAGACTTCTATGATTGGTACGGTACATAAAAGTCAAAACTCTGAGTGACTTTTTTTAGATAAACGAGGCTTCATGAGAAGTTTGTAATATTAATAATACAACTCACAGCAAGGTCTGTTAATCCAGAAACTTCTTTGTTAGTATTTGAAGTTTTATGTTTACAGTGTTGGTACCTGTCGCTCTAACACTGAGGCTACCATTTGACAGTCTTTAATGTTATTATGTCATACAGAGCCATGCATTTTAATCCATGTAATGCCTGAGAGAAGTCTGCTTTGTTTCTAACCCCATGACATGTACTTGTCCCCTCTTCATTTTCCTAATCTGCAGAAGAAAAGCCAAAGTTCAAGTGAGTTTTTCTTCCTCAAATGATATCTGTAAAACATCCGAGACGTTTGGTTAATCAAAAAAGACAAATATAAGCTTTTAAACTAGATTATAATCAATGTATATGCACCTACAAACTCTCTCTCCTGCAGACCTGCTGCACCAAAGATGCCCGATGGTGAGAAAGTGGATTTTGACGTAAGTGGAGATGAAGTGTGAAGGATTTGAGTGCATGTAAAGGGTTTTCTGTTTGTCTAAAGGTGGTTTTTTCGTGTTTCCGCCCTGCAGGATATCCAGAAGAAACGTCAGAACAAAGATCTGTCGGAGCTGCAGGGACTGATCGATGCTCACTTTGAGTGCAGGAAGAAGGAGGAGGAGGAGCTGATCGGACTGAAGGACAGGATTGTGAGTCTTTCACCTAAAAAACACACCTTTAAAAATCTTTAAAATGCACTTTTCAAACAGATTATAGGAGAATTTACAACTGAATTTGATTTTCATTAGATAAATAATCCAAATGCTAAATATATTCCACATTCTGGCTCTAAATGATCGAAGTACGGAAGCCAATTTCTGCCAATGTATTGCAAAAATAATGACATATGATCTAAATACAGTATATAAGGCCAGTTGAATTACTTAATTTTGCTAAAATAATTACCATAATTACTTTTTATCTCAATATACCAACACATTATAAAATTAATTACTCAGTAACCCAGAATTATGAGTTAGTGTCTTAATATTTAGACTTGGACGGCAGTATAGTGACTAAGTATTCCAAGATAATTAACTAATAGCTCAAAGTACTGACTTTTTATCTCAATATACCGACAGAGTATCTTAAACAGACTATACTGTAGGAAAACATGACTCAATTTGAACTTCATTAGATAAACAATCCAAATGCTAAATATATTCCACATTCTGGCGCTGCATTATCGAAGTACGGAAGCCCATTTGTGCCAATGCATTGCAAGAAAGACCCTGTAAATGGTTATGAGGAATTTAACCAAATAATGACTTGATAGAGTAAGAGATACTTTATTAATTAACTCAAAGTAATTACGTTTTATCCGAATATACCTTATCTGAATATACATAGTATTCCAAAAAATGAACTCGTGTCATTTTGTTAAAGAAGTACTTTATCTGACTATTTTCTGCTCGCTTTAGCCTTAAAATTACGATAGAGAAAACCGGACAGTTTCTAAATCTTGTCATCTGTTATCTGTCCGTTAGATTTAGCAAAGCAACGTGTGTGTATGTGTGTGTAGACGTAATGATCAGCTCTGACGCAGTGCGTTGTTTCCTGTTCTGCAGGAGAAGCGTCGCGCTGAGAGATCCGAGCAGCAGAGGATCAGATCTGAGAAGGAAAAGGAGCGCCAGGTCAAGCGTGAGGTTCGTAACATTTAAATATCACCTTTTGAATCGTATATCAAAGATTGTCTATACCTCATGCTTCCCGATGGGCTGTTGAGAGGAGGTCTCACTCTATTTATTGAAAAAACATTCAAGTGTATTTTGTATTAACACGTATATCAAAGATTGTCTATGCCTCC